GTAGCCAGCAAAACTATCTTTCCAAATTAATGGAGAAATAAGATATTTTCATGACAAAGAACTACTGAAGAAATTCATGAATACCAAACCAACCCTACAAAAAATACCGAAAGATATGCTAGACAGAGATAAAAATGACTACAGTTTCAAGAAAAACAGAAAGAAACAACCAGGAAAGACAAGCAACTAAACAGAGGGAAAAATGAAGGAAACAACAGCAGGAAAATATCATGACAAAGAAAATCCAGTACATATCAGTTATACCCATCAATGCAAATGGTCTCAACTCATCAATCAAAAGAAACAGACTGGCAGATTGGACCAAGAAACAAGACCCAACCATATGCTGTATACAAGAAACAAACAACTCAAAAAGAAATTCATAGATTGAAAGTCAAAGGATGAAAAACAATCTTTCATGCAACAGGAACTCACAAACAAGCAGGGGTAGGTATTTTATTTGCAGACAATGTGAACTTCAAGAATAATCAAAAGAGATAAAGAAGCTTATATACTTCTTAGGGGAAAAATTCACGAGGAAGAAATAACAACCACAAATACCTATGCACAAAATATAGGAGCAGCAGAGTACATAAGATAATTATTAATAGACACAAAAAATCAAACAATAACACAACTGTAACAGGGGACCTCACTAACCCATTGTCACAAAGAGGTAGATCAACTAGATAAAAATTAGCAAAGAAATATCAGAATTGAACCAAACCTGGGAACAAATGGACTTAGTGGATGTTTTCAGAATGTTCCACCCAACATCACCAGAATACACTCTCTTCTCATCTGCACATGGGATTTTCTCTAAAATAGAGCATATAATAGCCTACAGAACATGCATAAGTAAATGCAGAGGAACTGAAATTATTCCATGCATACTATTTGACTATAGTGTAATGAATTGGAAATCAATGGCTAAAGAAACCTCAAAAACTCCATAAACACATGGAAATTAAATAATACCCTTTTAAACAACCAACAGGTCACAGATGAAAAAGTTAAACAATGTCTACAACTAAATGAAAATGCAGATATAAGGTACTGGAACTTACGGCACAGTGAAAGTAATTCAAAGAAGGAAATTTATAGTGGTGACTTCTCACACCAGGAAAACAGAATGAGCACAAATACCTACTGCTGTACCTGAAGCTTCTGGAAAAAGAAGAGCAAGACAAGCCCAAATCCTATATGAGGGAGAAAATTATAAACATCAGAGAAGAAACTAATGCAACTGAGACTCAGAAAACAATACAAAGAATTAATGAATCAAAAAGTTGGTTTTTTGAAAGAATGAATAACACTGATAAACCCTTATCAAAAAGGAAAGAAAAGACTCAAACTCCTGCACTGAGGAATGAAGAGAGTCAAATCAGTATAGATCTTGTGGAAATTCAGAACACTATCAATATCTACTTTGCAAATCTTTACTTACATAGAATGGAAAACATGGAAGAAATGGGCAGATTCCTAGATATGTGTGAATTACTAAGAAGATATAAAAATTCTGATTAACCTAATATCAGTTAATGAGACTGAAAATTTAATTAAAACCTTACCAATAAAAAAAAAGTTCAGGTCTTGATGGATTCACTACTGAAAACTACAAGAAGTTTAGAGAAGATTTAATATCACTACAACTCAAACTCTTCAGTGAGACTGAAAGGGAAATAATTCTCCCTGAACCATTCTTGAAGGCAACTATTACCCTGATACTAAACTCAGACAAAGACCCAACCAAAAAGGAGAACTACAAGTTAATCTCCCTAATGAACATAGATGCAAAAGTCCTCAATAAAATACTAGCAAACAGAATGTACCAAATAATCAAGATTATACACCATGACTATGACCATCCCAGAAATGCAGGGAAGGTTCAACATGCAAAACAATAAATGTAAAATACCATAACAACAGAGGCAAAGACAAAAACCACATGATCATCTCAATAATAAGAAAAAAAGCTTTTGTCCAAGTCTGACATCATCATGAAACCCTACAGAAAATCAGACTAGATGGTCTTCACCTCAACTTGACAAAAGCCATCTATGATAAACCAACAGGTAGCATCATACTAACTAGACAAAAACTGAAAACTTTCATTCTAAAACCAGGACCAAGGACTGCAGGGGAGGAGAACAAGAAGTCAACAAGAAGCAAACTCTATTGGTGCCATGCACAGGCTGCTTGGACCAGATGCCAGCCTTTTCACATGAGTTGGAGACATTCACAAACTGCAGGAGAGGAGGAAAAGAAATCAACAAGAAACAAGTCCTTCCTGTGAGTTTGCGCCATGTGCAGGCCACTGCGAGAAGGACCAGAGAGTAGTCCTTTCCAGTGTGTGCACTGGGTGACAAAGAGAGCCAACCCTTCCACTCCTGCTGATCCAGAGGAACACAGGCAGAGATGATAGCTATTGAGATAAAATAAAACTTAAAGCTTATAGTGTTTATTGTTTCACTGAATCTTAAAGCTTGTATGTGGATCACCTATTCAAAGGATAATGATACACAATGTAGCATCTCCTTCTGAAGGTGGTGGCCATTGTTAATTCCCTATTATCTTACTTTGAAATTCTGTATCACTCACATTGTTTTGTTCATTGGGTATTATTCTGTTTTGTCCTGTTTTATTTTATTATGTCTAATGGCATGGGCAGCTATTTCAAAGACAACAATATATATTATGGTAGCCATTTTGGATTTACAATTATTTTGTTTTGAAATACTTTATTGTGTTCATTGTTTTGTTTTTATTGGCTCTATTCTGTTCTGTTTTGTTTGATACCTATGTCTGAAGGTATAGGCAGCTATTTTGAAGACAACAAGAGGATTATGGTAACCATTGTTGACTTCCTATTATCTTGTTTTTAAGCTCTGTATCACTTACACTGTTTTGTTTGATTGGCTTTATTCTATTTTATTACGCTTGGTCTTAACTTCTTTAAAATGAAAATAAAATCAGGAAGAAGACAAGGATGTCCACTGTCACCACCTATATTCAGTATAGTTCTGGAAACATTAGCTAGAGCAATTAGACAAGAGAGAAAAATGAATGGAATATGGATAGGAGAAGCCTAAATCATCATTACTTGAAGATGATATGACATTCTACATAGAAGACCCCAAAACTCTACCAAAAGACTTCTAGATTTAATAAGCAAATTCAATAGCATAACTAGATACAAAGCCAACATTCAAAAATTAATAGTATTCTGTATACAAACAGTAAACTCACTGAGAAAGAAATCAGGGAAACCTTCCCTTTATAATAGCATCCAAAAAAAAAAAAAAAGAAAGAAATACATCAGAGTAAATCGAACAAAGGAAGTAAAAGATCTATATAATGAAATTCACAGTTCTCTAAAAAAGAAAATTGAAGAAGAATATCAGAAAATGGAAAGATATCTCTTGCCCATGAGTAAGAAGAACTAACATAGTGAAAATGGCCATACTCCCAAAATTATTATACAGATTTAATGCAACCATGATCAAAATTCCAGTAGCATAGCTCACAGAACTAGACATAAATTCCTAAAATTCATTTGGGACCAAAAGAAACTTAGAATAGCAAAGCCAATTCTGGGTGACAAAGGCAATGCAGGAGACATCACAATCCCTAAATTAAAATTATGCTATAAAGCTACAGTGATAAAATCAGCATGGTACTAGGAAAACAAAAAACCATAACAAATAAAAAAACAAAAATCAGACCTGATGATCAGTGGAAGAGATCAGAAGATGCAGACACAACTCCAAATACACTCAGTCATCTCATCTCTGATAAAGGGGCCAAACACATTACTGGAATAATGATAGCCTCTTTACTAAACAGTGCCGGGGAAACTCGCTCTCTACTTGCTGAGACTAAAATTAGACCCATGTCTATCACCATGCACTACACTAGAGGCAAAATGGATCAAGGATCTAAATATTAAGACAGGAACACTAAATAAAACAAAATATTAAAATATAAACTCCATAGCAGCTGACAGTCTGTCATTAACATTGACTGCTATATTCCTAGCAAAACAACTCCTGCCTCACAACGAGAGTCCTGGGTTTCCTGAACCAATTAACAGCCCCTTTGTTATATAAAAGTAGGTATGTTTAACACAAACAAAATAATGCAACAAACTGCTGACGTACAAGTCATCTGTATGCCGGCACTTTCTAGGTTCTATAATATCATTTTTGTTCACTTTCTGTAGAATACCCCAGATAAATGTAAACTTTTTATAACAGATATATCCTCACATTATATTTATTAAATCTCTATTTTGTGTATTGAAATATGAAATAACAGAATCTCAGAACTGGAAAATAGTAGAATTCCCTGAGCCCAACCCTGTGCTCACTAACCAGGCATTTTCTGCAGTGGCCCTGAATCCAGGAGTGAAGAAGGAGGGTAACACTGCCACCGAGACCACGAGCTCACAGTCATCACAGTGGCTTACATGCTCACCATTTGAGCTCTGAAAATAATAATAATGTTCCAAAGGACAAAAAAATGCTTCTGTCATTAAAATTGGGGAAGAGTTAATAAACAATTACGCTTTCCTCCATCTCTCTAATCTTTATAGGAAGCGGGAGCTGACTGTTTCAGAAGACTGCTACAGCTCTCATTATAAGAGTGGGTTTGGCTTTGCTTCTGTTGAAGACAAAGCTCCTTTGCATTTTCTTTAAGTCACTTTTCTTCCTGGTAGACCTGGACACTCAGTCCCTCAGTTCCGACCCCTCCTGTCTTCACTAAGGAAACCCTCTCCCTGGGCTTGGACTTTGGACAGGATCTAGTCCATGGACTTTGCCCTCCAAGTGTGGACATCATACTCGGTTCTCCAGGGCAGGGATGGTCAGCAGCTATCTGTCTGTCTGTCTCTTCTTTTCAGGATGCTCTATTTTCATAAACACCACTTATGAGCTTTCTTTCCTTTCCCCAATGGCCCAATATCTTCAGTTCTTTATCTAGCTTTTGGTCTCAAAGAACACTCCTTGCGCCTAAAATGTCATCCCAAACTACTTGCATTTTCTGCGAGGAAGGGACCAATGCTCCCAGAGACACAATGGGCCAGTGGGATGAGTGCAGAGACAGGATCTAATGAACCAAGGTTAAGCCACACATATTCCTATGAATTTACCTCCCGAGAAGCTGCTCTCTCAACTATGACAGCCACTAGGGCAAGAACCACTCTGCTGATGTCTCCCCTAAACAATACCATGCAGGGCCACCTGCAGCAACCACAATGACATCTGTCAGCTGGATATGGGTCTCCAGCTGCTCCCAGGGGGTGTACCTGTGCACAATCATCACTATTGTGTCACCTGCAAGGCAGAAGGGCTTCCATTAGTGATCACGGCCTTTCCCACATTGTATGAAAGCTGTGAATCAAGTGAGGTTTTGGTTACTGCCCCAGAATAGCTACATTGCCTTGACATGATTCAGTTACTCTGAAACCAAAAGCTAGATAAGGCACTGATGATGAATCAGAATGTTTTTTTTTTTTTTTTAATTTTATTTAAGGAGAAAAACAAAAAAAAAAAAAAGGAAAAAGGTACAAGTTATACAGAATTTCAGAGAAAATAAACAGTAGGAAATCACTAGTTAATAGATTACATATTGTCATCTTAGAAATAGTTGTTCAAGTTACAAAATTAAAGCATATAAAGTGGACATTCAAACAGTGAGACTGTAAACAGTTCTGTTAAATGATCCAACAAAACTCAGTAATATGGTTATCTATCTTATACACTTATATATACATGCAGTTATATCCTTTAGAGCACTTTCTTTTCCTCTCTTTTGTACAATGACAATTACACATTTTGGGTTTTATTACTCCCACAATTCTTATTACTTCTTTTTTGAAGAGAGTAAAATGAAATGTGACATAAAAGAACAGAGTCAGTCAAATCAAAAGGATGGACATAACACATAATGTAAAAACAAAATACAAGGTGATCAACAATGGTTACCATAATGCCTCTTGCTATCTTAAAAAGAATTGCCTCTATCATCAGTTATAATAAAATTGAACAAAACAGTAAAGAACAAAACCAATAAAACCAACACATCGGAGACATTACAGGACTTCAAAAGAAGATAATAGTCAAACCAGAATGGGCGTCATAATGAATCTTATTGTCTTCACAGTTGTTGCCTATACTTTCGAACTTGGTACTATCAAGCAAAACAGAACAGTGGAAAATCAGTCAAAACAAGATGGTGAGAGCAATACAGAGTTTCAAATCAAGTTAATAGGAAATCAAAGTGGGTTACTATAATATATCCTGCTATTTTAAATTTATTTTTCCCTTAATTAAAAAGATAAAAATAAAAAAGTAAATAATAAAATGGAGATTGAGATAAAAGAGGTCATAACAACAAAACAGCGCAGGTAAAAACATAACCATTTAAGCAAAATAGTATTTCACCACAAGATATCCCGACATAAAAGTAGTTACGATAGTGTCTCTTTCCTTGAAATCTTTGAGTGTAACTTCATATATTGTAGCACCAAACATATCAAGACAATGTAAAACCATTCAAGAGAATGACAGTATTTACAGGGTATTTAGAATCAACTAACAGAAAATGTACAATGGTTTCTGTATAATCTCCTTGTCTATAAAAGGTTTTTGTTGATATTATCACATATAATAAAATCCAATAAGATACAACATATTAAGACCAATGGAGACAGATGAACAAAAGCTTGATGGGACTTCAAAATAAGATGATATTAAATCAGCTCTAGCTATTATGGTGTCTTGTTTTCTCCAAAATAGCTGCTGCTACCACCCAACCTTCTCTGCCTCATTTCTGTTGAGCTCTTTTTCTGTCATTAGTTGTCAGTTTGTCTTCTTCATTTTGCTTTCTGCTCCATTCATTGTGGCCTCTCTGCCACTATTTCTGGAATCTTGGTATTTTCCTTTTTTAGAATGTCCTGCAGTATTCCCTGTAGAGTTGAATTGGTAGTTGCAAATTCCCCTAGTTCCTCTTTATCCTGGAGGCACCTTGTTTTTCCATCAATTTCTAGGAACAGTTGTGCAGGATATATCAATCTTGGCTGGAGGTTATTATCTTTCAAAGCTTGAATTATTTCCGCCCACACTCTTCATGATTTGATGGTTTGTGCCGAGAAGTCTGCTATAATTCTGATGGGTGTTCCCTTCTAAGCGATCTGTTTCTTGTCTGTGACGGCTTCTAATATTCCGTTCTTATACTGGATTTCTGGAATTTTGATTATTATATGCCTGGGTATAGCTCTGTTTGGGTTGTAGCTGGCTGGGGTCCTGTATGCCTTATACATCTGAGTATCTTTACTTTTTTGTTAAATTAGGGACATTCTCCTGGATTATTTCTGTGAATACCTTTTGTAGTCCATTTGTTTGTGTCCCTACTTTTTCTTTTAAGTTCTTAAGTCTTAAGTTATAGATCCTCTTATCATCTTCTAGCCTTCGTAATATTGCTGTTTGTTTTCTTGTTATTTCTGTTTGTTTCTTGTTTTTAAGAAGTTTTTCATTTCATGCTCCCACATTGCAAATCTGCCCTCCAGTGCAGATAATCTATCCTTAGTTTCTTTCAAGCTGTTATGCCAGCTTTCAATAGAGTTTTTAGTTTCCTGGTAATCTCTTTGAATCTGCTTCACATATTCTTTGTTTTCTCTATTTTTCTCCATCAAACAATTCTCCCCTTTTTTTCTGTTTTTCCATTCAACCATCTGTTTTTTCTTGGGTGGTGCTTAGCATTTCTCTAACTATTCTACTTATATCTTGCTTTATTTCATTAAATACTTCACTTTTGAACTCATCTATGAGGCTCCAGAGATATCGCTTTATGTCTACTGGTGCCATGTCTGATATTGCATGTTTTCTGTCCTCAATCTCCTTTGCATTTATTTTTCCTGGATCAGTGTTCTCAGGATTGGGGAGTGAGGACCCTTTCTTGTTGTTCCCTCTTCCCATACTTTTTGTTCCTTCCATACAGGCATATATAGGAAGCCCATTTTCTTTGTCAGTTACAGTTTGTTTGAATCATGATGGCGAGGTGTTCCCGCCCACTGCAGTGTACTAGGGAGACACAGACCTGGGCAGCCTCTGCTGGGCCCACCCCTCCAGGTCAACCTACTGAAGGCTTTACTGCTAGGGTGCACCACCAGGCCCTAGAACCTGGTTTGGGCTAGCCGACTGGGTCTTAGTCCTCAGCATCACCCAGGCCAAGCGCTCCCCACCAATCTCGCTTGAGAGGGGAATATGTGACTAAAGTCACAGCAGTGTCATATTCCCACTAATCTGCCCAGTCCCAGAATGTCCTCTGTTGAAGCCTCCTAGTCTATGGAAGGGTCCGCGATCCTCTCACTCACCGCAGGTCAATGCAGGGCTCCCTGCCAGTCCCGCTCTCAGAATTTTCGCGTCTCTCTCCCTGCTGTGCTGATTTAGACACAGCAGCGGCAGCAGAAAATTCAAATCGTGGCATCCAGAGGCACAGGTTCCAGCTTCTGCGCTGAGATTTCATCTGTTTTGGTTATAGCACCGGGATTGCATTTCCAGTTGGTTTCTCTCAGCTTAGTTTGTTCCTGGGTCAGCAGGGTATATCTCCCTTTGTTTAGGACTCCTCACACCATACCATTCCTGGATTCTAAGCTGGCTATCTCAGAGAGCCTCCATAGCTGCTGTTATCTGTCCACCATGTTCTCCCAGAAGTGTTCTGAGCTTTTAAATCTTTCTGGCTGGGGAGACTCTGGTGGTGATGGAGCTGGCGAATTTTCAAGATAGCAAGGACCAAAGGACCACGTTGGAACACACCAGAAGAACACATGCGAGCAGAGGTTGGCATCCTGCAGCGGGTTGGGCTTCAGCTCCTGGTGCACCGGGAGCATCTTGCCAAGTGGGCCGAGGTGCGCAGGCCGGGAGGGAGGCGCGCTGGAGATGCTGTAGGTCAGGCCGCCACACGGGTCAGCTCGGCTGGAGCCTGAGGACAGCTGTTTCCAGGCGCCACGGCAGGCCCCAATCCTGCCTCCCAAGCCTCCAGGGGTGCCCGCTTCACTCAGCCGGCCACCACCACCACTGCTGCCGCCGCTGCCACTCGATGAATTAGAGTGTTATAACTTTCCACTGATGGGTAAATACTCGCCAAGGCTGGGTGAGGTGAGTGCGGATTTCAGAGGAGAATTACCATCTCCAGGACTGGAGAATTCCATCCTGACTGGTTAATACACTGGTATGGGATCCTCACTGGGTTGCTGGTGACAGAGATAAAGGCCAGAACCAACAAGGTTAGCTGTACTATCAGTGGGAGGGTACCCAGGTGAGAGATGGATTCCAATAGAAAGAGGAGTCAGGGTTGCTCAGGAAGGTTTGAAGTCTTGAAGCATGAACGTGAGTATACCCGGGAAGAAAAGAGCAGTCCATGCTGAAAGAAAGGAGGGGAGGGAAAAGAAATCAACTTTGAAATTCTGTGTTTAGGAAATAGCAAAAAGGTCTAGAGAATAACAAGGTTGCTTTACAGGAAAACTTGAGTAGCAGATAACAGGACAGGCAGCAACTGGAGGGTTCCTGAGTTGAAAGTGCCAGCCAGCGGACGGGGGTGAGGACAGGGGTTCCCTAAGCGGGTGGCAGCATGGGATATGATTTCTCTCATCACCTAGAGAAGATATAAAAAAGCAGACCAGCACACAGCCACAGCCAAAACTGCCCAGACTCTGTTTTTAGAGAAAATGGATAACATACTTTCCAGTGATTCTAAAAACATGTAAGCTACCACAAACAGTAGAAATAAATACCACAGAAGGATAAAAGTAGCAAAGAGACAGAGTGGTGAGATGTTGGGCAGTCACAGCTCTCTCCTGATTCGCTCTTTACCTCTGATATCTTTACTGAAATGTGTCTTAGCACTGACCATTATAGTCACTTTGTAGGAACTGAAGGCTTCAAAGGCCTGAAGGAGAAATGCTCACTGCCGAATGTAAAGGATCAAGTTCTTCACTGCAACAGAGGGAGACACAGGAAGCCAGAAAAAGCACTCTTGGAGCCAGAGCAGTTCAGTGTGGTGACAGAGCCTGTCTCGGAGGAGCCACCCAGCACCTCCTCCCTCATTCAGGACAGAAACATCCTGCAAACAGCAGGCCCAAGAGAACCCACCTCATTCCCTGGTGAGTAATACAGAAAGGATTGGGTGAAACATCAGTGAAGGCCCTATGCAGGGGCAAGCCCAGGGAGTTTGCCAGGGTGATGAAACTGTCCTGGTTCTAGTGATGATTAATAGTGACTTAGTGTTAACATAAATTAATGGCACTCCATTTCCAAAGAAGTGGATTTCATTA